TCTCTTATCAGACATGCCATTACCAAATATTTTTTCCTCTATAAATTCTAGATATAAGTCTCTTATCAGACATGCCATTACCAAATATTTTTTCCCCAGTGTGTGGGTTTGTTTTTTACTCTGTTGGGGAAGGTTTTGGATGTGCATAGGGATTTGATTCTTAGAAGGTCCCATTCATCTATTTTATCTTCTCCTTACTGTAGGTGTTTCAGGATGCTGAGAAGACTGTAAATGCAGAGGATTAGGGCTTCTAAAGTTCTTCCAAACTTTTCTCTAATGAAGTTTATAGTCGTTGGTTTTAGTCCTAAGCCCTTGATCTACTTTGAATTGGTTTCTGTGTATGAAGTGAGGTGTGCATCTTGCTTGAGTTTTCTGCAGTTAGCTTTCTAATTTTGCCAACACAATTTGTTAAAAAGGCTGTCATTTCCCGACTTAACTGATTTCATCTCCTTATCAAAAATCAGTTGTCCATAGGTAGATGGGCTGATTTCTGGGTTCTCTATTCTATTCCATTGATCTATGTGTCTGTCATTGCTACCAGTACCATGCTGTCTGGACCACCATGACAGTGTAGTAGGATTTAAAATCAGGGAGAGAGATGCCTCCTACCTTGTTTCTCTCTTTAAGGAGTGCTTTGCTTATTCGGGGCCTCTTCCCATTCTAAATGAAATTGGAGATTGCCTAGTGAAAGGTTAAACAGTAAATTATGTTTCTATTTGATAATATTTGTGTGTGTGTGTGTGTGTGTGTGTGTGTGTGTGTGTGTGTGTGTGTGTATTTACTATGGAATTAGATTCAGCTGGTTTAGTAGGAGATTCCCCCTCCTTCTCCTGGAGGGCATCTGGTGGATTTGAATTTTCCACCTTCAGGATTGCGGTGGAGCTTCTTACCACTAGGCCACCAGAGGCTTCCTATTTGATAATTTCTATACATGTTCTTCTTCAGTGTCATACCTATTTTAAAATGTCTGCTTGTTTCATTTCTAGTACTCTAGTTTCCCTGTTTTTATGTCTTTAGAATAATATTTTTTTTTTCTTTCTATTATACATGGTCTTTTGAGTAGAGCACAATGTTGGGGCTAATAATCCTTAACTTGTGTGTTACTTTGCTCTTTCTTTACAGTTTCTGTTAAGATTTTCAGCATTGTAAAAAGAAACTCTATTTTAAAAAACAAGTCAATGCACAAAGCATAAAATAAGAATTAATATGCTATTGTATATAACAATACATAGGGTTTTTGGAGGCCTGCTATTTCAGAAGTGGATAGCCGGCCAGTCCTTCTTCCTAGTCTGTCTTAATCTGAATGTTCATATTTAGAGAAGTATCAGACAGACCAGCATTTTACAGAAAAAGTTAAAGATATATCCCCTATTGTGGAGTTAACCATTAGTATCAGTGTTGTCCCTGCCTTCGGCATGCATGTCTTTACCCACTTATTTCCCTGCTCCACCATCCACCAGGATACCCATCCACTTCTACCCAATCCCTTCAGCCTCTGTCTCCCATTGTCCAGCCCTTGTTCTGATAGCTTATATCTGAAACTTCCTTGATCCTGTGATTCCAAACACGTCAGTTGCTGATAGTTTCTTATTCTGTGACCAGTGACTCTTAAGTTTAGTGGTAATGTTTCCCCAGTGAAGGTGATGTGTCCTGTAGATAGGTTTTTCTTGTCCTGAGGGCCACAGGCATCAGGATGGATGGTGAAGAGATTGAGATTGTTCACAGCTTTAGTTTGCTTGGCTCCACAGTCAACACTCTTGGCACCAGTAGCCAGGAAATTAAAAGACGTATTGCCATGGGAAACTCTGTTGTAAGGGACCTCTCCAAAGTACTGATGAGCAGTGCTGTCTCTCTGGAGACTAAGGTGTGTCTGATATAGGCCATGATCTTTGCTATCGCTTGTTATGTATCAGAGAATTGGACAGTGACTGAGGAGGATAGAAGGAGAATTGATGCCTTTGAGCTGTGGTGCTGGAGAAGAGTATTTAGGGTACCATGGACTGCTGCAAAAACAAACAGATTCATCCTGGAAAGGGTCAAACCAGGAGGCTCCTTGGTGGCAAGGACTCTGAGGCTCCGTCTAACATACTTTGGTCATGTTGTAAGGAGGGACCAGTCCTTGGAGAGGGACATCATGCGTGGGCGGGTGGAGGGACAGCACAGGAGGGGAAGGCCCTCTATGAGGTGAATTGATTCAGTGACTGGGGTTATTGGAATGGGAGTGTCAGAGACAGTGCGATTGGCACAGGAGAGACAGAGTTTAGGGCTGTTGTACATAGGGTCGCTATGAGTCACAAGTGACTGGATGGCACATAACGGCAACAACAATAGTATCTAACAGATTAAAATAGAAATTGTTATTTGACAGATTTCTATAAAGTCAGCTGATTTAAATCTTAAGGGTAGGATATATTAATTTACTTAAAAGGAATAACTTAAAACTTTGTCATCTTTCTTTGAGAAGTAATGTCATGCTTTTATTGCATATCACAACTTAAACTTCATTTAGTTTATGTTTATTTCAGATTTTTCTATATTTACACTATTCTGTAAATATTGGATTTCTAATAAGAACTCTTTGTATTTGGTTTTCTAGTCTATAGTTACTAATCTAAAAATATCTTTTTAGTCTCGTAGTGTGGATAAGCAACATGCTGTAATCAATTATGATGCCTCTGCAGATGAGCACTTGGTGAAAGATTTGGGCAGCCTAAATGGGGTAAGTGAAGACTTTATTTTTTTATTGTAGGTGAGCATTTTCTTAATAAACATGAAAACCACATTGTATTCCTTACTTGTGTTATGTTTTGTTTTTGAGCCCTGGGGGCCTAGTCTTTAGAGAGCTGTGCTGCTAACCCAAAGACTACCATTCTCTGGTAGTTTGAATCTCCTCAGCAGCAAGATGAGCGTCTCTTTCCCTTACACCTTGCATGCTCACTAGATACTTAGCCCTTGCTGCTGTTAGGTACTCTCAAGTTTGAGCCGACCCATAGCAGACCCTCCAGTGGGTTTTCAGAGGCAGTAAGTCACATGGCAGGAGACTGCCCATCTTTTTCTCATGGAGCAGCTCGTGAATTCAAACCCCTTGCCTTTGTGTTATCAGTGTAACCACTTATCTCTAGGCTACCAGAGTTCCCCACCAAGCACTTAGGAGACCATTTATGAGGAATATGACTAACTCATGTCCCCAGGAAAGTGGAGACGCAGTAAATTCCTGCATGAATTTGGGATGAGGTTTACTGCAAATATTTGTATTGATTAAGTACCCCTTGAAGGAAATGAAACAAAATTTGGCCTAAAATAGGACTTAAATTTATATATAGAAAAACAGCAGAAGCCATAACAGTAGAATGTTAAGTACGCTTTGGAGACAGAAAAGTATGATTTAATTTTAGAAAATAGAGATGGAAAGGTAGTCTGTAGCCAGATGGAAGAATCTTCTTCTGAAGTAGGAGGAAAAGAAGTGAAATGTCTCTTTTCTTTAACAGGAAATAAATATTAAGACTTATTATTGTTTCTTTGGGTCCCTCCTTTGAAACTACTTCTATTTTTTTTTTTTTTCAAATTTTGTTTCTCCACATTGAATGAATGTTACAGCCATAGAGAGTAAGAGAGTGCTGAAGTATTGACTGTATGCTCTTTTTTTAATTGAATGATTTTTTTAACGTAACGTATATATTTTTTACAACATATTCTTTCTATTTAACTTTTCTCCATTCATTCATTGCTGCATTTTTTCCTCCCTGCCCACCCTCTTCCCCAAGTTCGTTTTTCTCTTTGAAAAGAAAAAAAAATTTATTATTATATAATTCTCTTTCCCACTCCCAAGGCCATAGTCCACTTTACTGTGCATTTCTCTTTCTGGATTCTTGACATGGAAATAATACCTAATCCTATATCCCTTTTGACCGTTTACACTTTTCCTGAATGATATCTTTGACATCCTCCCACAACTCATCTGGTCTTCGCTCATTAGTGTTCAAGGCCTCAA